GTTTTATGTGAGTGGCTCTCAATGATTTTCTTTGAGGTTGCCTGTATCTCTGGTGCAACTTTAACTGAAAATGCAAAATACAGCTATGACTAAATACAGCTGACTGAGTTGTGTAATGTTCTGATGGGTAGCTTTGTCGTTTCAAAGTGAGGTGTGACATTCTAATGCCAAATAAACCAGTTGCAAAACACCAAAAACCTTTCGCACATTATAATAGTTCTCTGATTCTTTTTTTCCCAGATAACTTAATTCTGAGCAGAATCTATCAAGTGAGTGATTTTTCAAAGCTGCTGACTGGTCTCTTCAGGGTCATAGGGAAAATTGATGGTTTATGATTAGATTCTCCTTCTACTCCTTTCCTTTTTTTCATTTCTTATTTGATGGCTTTATATACTCATTTCATCCCCTAAATTTGCATATCTCCAAGAGAAAAAATGTGTAAGATGACCTCAGGAGACATACTGAAAAGGGAGTTTTCAGTAACTCTGAGACGTCATTTTCACATTTGAAATCACAGAGTACTGGAACGACTTTACAGTGTGAACCAGTGGTTCAGCTAATTGTTCATTCATCTGGTGCATATTTACCGAATATCTGTTAGTACTTGGACAATGCCTCTCTGAAGTTTCTAATATAGTAAGGAAGCAGACAGGTAAGTAACGAGTTGACATGAAATAGGTACCACAGTAGAGAAGTGTATGTAAAGTACTGTGAATCTTTCAAGTTAGGAGGATCGATTTTTCTCTGGGGTGGAGACTTATGGGAAGATTTCCTGAAGGAAATTATTTGTACTGGGTCTTAAAGAATAGATGAGGTCATGATGCCCACAAGGTAAAGGGTGGAGTAGTGATGTTGGATGGGGCAGAATGAGGGGGAAGAAAAGGAGGGTAGCTTCCCATAGATTAAACAGCAAGCCACACCCAGTGGGGGCATGAAAGCTTATACTGCATTCAGAAAACAGTGAGGTTTGATGTGGCTCCAACAATGTTGATTGTGTTTGGAGTGAGTATGGCTTCACAATAACATGATTGTGGGTAAAATGTACATACATATTTACAGTTAAATGTATACACACACACACACACACACACACATAAAAAATATTTACAGGGTCTCCCTCTGTCACTTAGGCTGCAGGAGTGCAGTGACATGATCACAGCTCAGCCCAGCCTGAAACTCTCCCAGGCTCAACCAGTCCTCCCACCTCAGCCTCCCAAGTAGCTGAGATTATGGGTATACACCACGATGCCCAGCTAACTTTTCTAGAGATGAAGTTTCACTATGTTGCTCAGGCTGGTCTCAAACTCCTGAGCTCAAGCCATCCACTGACCTCAGCTTCCCAAAGTGCTGGGATTACAAGAATGAGCCACTGCGCCCAGCATGGTGGGTGACCATGAACGGAGGAAGATAAAGTGTAAATTAATAATCTCTATGTTGGGTATTTTGAATATCATATGATGAGTTTAGTTTTTTAATGTAACTAATAAATCCTCATGACAGGGTGTTTAGAGTTGTCTTTTCTTGATGATCAGGGATCCCAGTGAGGTTGAAGGTGAAGGGTGACCTCTAAAAGAACTGGCACTCAAAAATGGCTTTGAAATTTCTGTTCTGAAAGACTGGGTGGATAGTGTGTCCTTTATCTAGAGGAGGAATATGTTAAAAGGATACATGCAGTGGGCGATAGGTAATGATTTTTGTTTAGAGCTTACTGCATTTGAGACAGACAGAACTCCAGGTGGGTACGATCAGGTGAACAATCGAGTCTTTGGGTGTATATGCTGCACTATTCCAACATGAACTGTTTTGTGGGTTAATGGGCAGGCTTGATGAAACACACTGAGATTTATGTGGAGACTGTCTCATGATCAAGGTCTATGTATTTCTATTGATCACTGGCTGCATCTAGAAATAAATTTACACAATTTCCCTCACAAATCGGTGTGTCTTGATACTGTGAAATACTAGGTTGACAATGGCTTGACAGTAGCCTTCACAAAGGACAAAGTAATAAAGTTGTTGCAGAAAGACCAGTCCCCTGAGGAATATCAAAGGTGCATGGGTTTAATAGCCTATCCACTCTTTGAAAACAGTATATATATCCTATAATTTGTTGCTTTAATTCCTCTGCAAAATTAAGTAAATGTCTTATTGAACGAGGGAATATTGCTACTTAAGATTAGAGAAAGGGATTTTTCAATCAATTAGTATACACACTGCAAAGGAAGGTCCTTAGGTAGGAACACACTTTTTTTTTTACGGAGTCTCACTCTGTCGTCTAGGCTGGAGTACAGCGGTGTGATCTTGGCTCACTGCAACCTCCGCCTCCCAGGTTCGAGCTGTTCTTCTGACTCAGCCTCCCAAGTAACTGGGACTATAGATGTATGCCACCACGTCCAGCTAATGTTTGTATTTTTAGTAGAGATGGGGTTTCACCATGTTGGCCAGGCTGGTCTCAAACTCCTGAATTCAGGCCTCAGCCTCCCAAAGTGCTGGGATTACAAATGTGAGCCACCACCCCCAGCCAAGGGACACACTTCTTAATGAGGGAAAAGATATAGATGTTTCTAGGCAGAAGGTAACATCATACTGCAGGAATTCATTCTTCCTTTCGCACCTTACCTTTCTCTCCTGACTGAGAGAATCAGGAGATTCTCTGGGAACTTGCTTTTGTACTCTTATGGGACTGTTTTGGAAAATGCCCCAAGTGGAACAACAGTTATCCACCTAAATGCAACAGATGCTGACTCTGGAACAAATGCTGTGATTGCGTATACTGTACAGCCATCTGACAGTGACCTCGTTGTCATTGACCCTAACACAGGAGTCATAACCACTCAAGGCTTCTTGGATTTTGAAACCAAGCAGAGCTACCATCTTACTGTGAAAGCCTTCAACGTCCCTGATGAGGAAAGGTGCAGCTTTGCCACTGTTAATGTACAATTAAAAGGGACAAATGAATATGTGCCAAAAAACAAAACAAAACTTTTTCTCTGGGAACTTGCTTTTGTACTCTTATGGGACCGATAACTTGCCCAAAACCTTGGTCTTGCAGTTTTATAGGAAAATATATATCTGGCACAATATCTTCCATTCTGAGTCATCAGTAAAACCCTACTCCCTTTACTTCTGAGGTCTGCTGCTTTGGATCAGCTTTGGAAATTGTGGACTAGAGAACATGTATTATGTTGACTGGTCATAGCACTTTCTTTTGAAATCAGCAGCTATGGAAGAGTTTGCAAGTAGGTTTGGAATCGTCACAATCTTCTTTACCTGTACCTTGAGATCTATACTTCTGCAATGTTGTTTCATGTGTTTTGTTCTTCAGTGCAAAGAACCCAGATGTTTTTCATCCAGAGCATAGTTTGCATAAATACTAAAAGATAAAACTAGTTTCCCAAATACTTTAAAAAAAAATCAGCACTTTTTCTCTTTTCTTTTTGCTTTCTCAGTTTCTGTGTGTAATCTTATATTTCTTGACAAAAATAATGACACCAGTTCAGTTGACAAGGTTGGCTCATCTTGTCATTTATTTGAATTGTTTCATATTTTGCACCTAACTACTGCCATTTGCACAAAGGAAAATAGTTATTCCACAGCAGGCACTGTGGAATAACATATTGGAGCAGCATTGCATGGAGCTCTAATTCCGTGGATTTATGTGGAAACAATCTCCACAGAAATGCGTGTTTAATCAAACCTATCCATTAACCCACAGAAAAATTCATGTTGGAATAGTGCAGCATACGCACCCAAAGAAGGATTTAAGAAATCCTTCTTTTTTGATAAAAAAGAGATACTCCTCCTTTCTCTTTATCCCCCCCCATCAAAAAAATTCCAGGTGAAATATATGTGAAAAATGCTGAGTGAAGGAAAGTTAAGCTGGTTTCTTTCTTGTATGTTCTATTTCAGTCTCAATGTGCTGATGTACATTGTGACTCTCTCAGTGTGAAATGTACCTTGGAATAAATCCCAAACATTTTTTCTCCCTAGAATATCTTGAAGATCCAGAGTCTAGTCAAACTCATTCTCTGAGGTCATGCATTGATGTATATATACTCAATCTGACATGGGTAATTTTTGTTAAAATGTAGCTATGTTAGCTAAACTATTTTCTTTTAGTTATCAAGGTGTATCCAATCTTGCTATTTTAAAAATTTTAATTGTATAAGAAAGAGTTTTTCAGATTTTGGGGTTCAATCTTAGTCTATCTGCTCCCCTGATCTGCCAAACCAATAACAATTTCTTCTAGTCTTTTTCAATGTGAGTGGTTTATGTCATCAGAGAATTTTATCTGAACTCATATGAGTACAATAGGTTTAGGTGATTAATCCAAGTGTGTGTGTGTGTGTGTGTGTGTGTGTGTGTGTGTGTGTATCTAACCAATTTTACTGGAATCTTTTTGTTAGATTTCATGTAGAATAAATCCTACCTGATGCACAGACGAGGCTAGCAGTTGTTGCTAGTTCTTTTGTAGAAAAAAAGATGTACCAAAGTGTCCAGAAAGTTATGCAAAATGGAGATGCCAGAAAAACATAATATATCTCACATCTCAGTAAACAGGAATGCAATTAATGTTTAGAGAAAACTCAAAGTAGGAAAGGATTTAGAAATATATGACAAAATTGGTAAGGCATGGTGGACACTGTTTAACATAGGTTGAGGCTTTCTCATCAGCATTTTCCACATGTGCCCTGCATTGACACCAGCTTGACCTCAGCCTTGATTCTTGCATACCTGACTATTATAAGAGCTGGCTAATATGGTTGCCTAATTATAACCTCTTATCCAAATTAATATTCTTACTGCACCATTGTGATCTCAGAATCATAGTTTTTGAGGTTATTGTCGTTTACTAAAATCATTAAGATGTAATGAACAGAATATTGGATTTCAAGTGAAAAATTTACATTCTTGAGAGCCACTTACGAGCTGTGCAACCCCGAGCAGGTTACTTAACAACTAGAGGTGAATCCATTTCTACCTATAACATTTACATAGCAGTACTTACCTGGCAGGGGGATACCATGATCACGAAGGTGATTTTCCGAGCGTGAGGCTTAGCTATTGCAGTCTGGATGTGCCGACCCCTGCGATTTTCCCAAATGTGGGAAACTCAACTGCTTAATTTGTGGTAGTGGGGGACTGCGTTTCGTGCTTTCCCCTAAAAAAAAAAAAAAAAAAAAAGAAATTACATAGTAATACCTTTGCTGTCTAATTCATAAGTTTGCTGTGGGATTTAAATGAGATAATATGTGAAGACTTTTTGTAAACTTTGAAACAAAACAGACCTGTAAGGTACTACTATTACTCAATAAAGTATTGCATGTGTATTTCGAGGCTGACCATCAATGTTCTACCAGGCCACAATTACTTTTCCAGTCTATATGTGACCATTTGTGTGTAGGAACAGGATAATTCATTCAAAATAGAAATTTATCTATGAATGCCTTGGGTTTTCATACATACGCATCCTTTCTATGTCCCTTTCCTGCTGAGTTTCCTCCCATTCTCCAAAGTGGCATTGAGATGTTGTATTTCCATGACGCCTTCTGTATTAGTTTCCTAGGTCTGCTGTAGCAAATCACTACTGACTGCATGGCTTAAAACAACAAAATTTATTCTCTTGCCATGGCGGGGTCAGAATTCTGAAATCAAAGTGTAGACAGAGTCGCACTCCCTTAGAAGGATGTAGGGAAGAACTCTTCCATGCCTCTTTCATCTTTTGGGGGCTTTAGGTGGTCTCTGGCTTGTGACAGTATCACTCCAATCTCTGCCTCTGTCTTCACATAGCCTTGTCTTGTGTCTCTTTGTCTCTTCTCTTTCTGTCTTTTGTAAAGATACACATCATTGCACTTAGGGCTCATTCTAAAACCAGAATGATCTCAAGATCCTAAGCCACATCTGAAAAGACTCTATTATTTCCAAATAAGGCCATATTCATGAGAGCTGGGGGTTAGGATTTGGATATATATTGTTGGGCCTGCTATTACACACTCCATCTCCCTTGATCATTCTAGTCTGATTTGTTTGGAAAACATTACATCTAAGGTTAAAAATCATGTACAACCTTGGAACAGCTGAGAGCACTGTACTTACAACAAACCAATTAAACAAGCAAATTTCAAGGACCACTTATGGAAAGTTTAGCATTTGGTTCTTTTAATGTAATTGTTATTTCAACCGTAATTACATAGCACATAAAGAAGCAGGACTGTTTAACTTTCTGTCAAAAGAGTTGAATTATTTAACTACTTTTTTACAACTCTAGAAACTGAGAAGAAATTTTCTTTTTTAAAAATGTGACTATATTGAACGGAAAAGTAGAATTCATTTAAAATCATTATGACTTAGCAACCTAATCATTAGAAAAAATATAGTACAGTAATACTCATAAGATTATCTCTGGGCTCAGTACAGATGAAAGCCAAAACTTGACATTGAATTGCTATTGGGATAGTACAAGATTGTATTAGCTCAGCACACTGGCTATTAACGCGATACACATTGTGAGCTCAAACACGTTGCAATGTCAGTTAGAACTTCTTCCATCTGTGCTGATCCCTCAGTGGACTTGGTCCTCTCTGGTGGCATTAAGGGACACAGAGCACAATTATGGTAACAAGCAAGCATGCCATTCACAACCCAAGTCAATTTATAAAGCTCTGAGAGAATGAGTTCTTTTATGTCCACTCTGCGTTTTTTTTCCATGCAAAAAAATGATACCAGGTTGAATGGAGGGGCAGTGTGTGCTCATGATTATTTTATTTATTTATACAGGCTACTCCGAAATTCTAGATCTTGCTGATTCATTTCAGTCTTTTAAATTTACAATCCATGTTCATGATCTTACGTCACAAACTTATCCCAACTTTTTTTTTTTAGTCTCTTTCCCAACGTAGAGGTAGGAAGGCAATGTGCTTAAGTAACCACCAAATTTTCTTACTATAGTAAGCTTAATATGGGATGTTGCCTTTGCTCCACTTCATCAAAAGTTAATATTTTCTTCATTCATAAGAATGAAACCAGGATTTCCTAGGTCTTCCTAAAAGATGGAAAGCCTTCTGAATTTACTAACCTAATATATTTCTGTTAATACAACACTTTCAAGTATGCATTATAAAATATAAATTTTAACTTTACAACACACCCTTAATTTATTTTGATTCAATACATTTCTCTTCTGTTTAATTCTACCTAGAAGTCCTTTTGACTTTTATTTATTTATTTATTTTCCTGCTGAAACGTAGTGAAAATTTGGCTAGAGGTGGAGAGATGAAGAATAGTTTTTAGCCATTCACAAATATGGTCCTCATATTGATATTTCAAGTTTTATCCTGATCTTAGTGAGGAGTGTGTGATTAAAGAAGGGAGGCCAGGAACAGGTTAAGGAGGTGTGGTCCAAGTGAATCTTTTCCTCTGTCAACCACACTAAAGTCACATCACATCACCAACTGGAGTATTTATTCACGTGCTTCTGGAAGAAGACATTATGTTAGTTTGGCTTTGTTTTTGTTTTTGAACAATTATTTACAGGTATCATTGGATTTAAGATGCAAGAGAAGGTAAACTAAATTATTCAAGGAGAAAGCTAGCTTCTGAAGAAGAAGAAGAAAAAAATTATGGATTTTCTCCCTGGAAAGGTGAAGGTTAGGAGAAGATACCAGCAAAGATGACAAGCATTTAAAGAATAAGGGCCAGAAAGCAATCTCAATTTCCTTGAGGCATCTGCAAATACTAAAAACAGGAACAAGCATTTGAGATATAAAAATGAACATTTTAGTTAGAAAAGCACTTTAAGCCTCATAAGAGAAAGTTTTTAATAAGTTAGTTGTGGTCTCTGTTGATACAAAGAGTAAAATAAGCTGTTCTGAAGATAAAACGTGTCCTGAACCTTCTGAAGGAGAAGTCATGGAGAATGATGTGCAGGTCTTTCATGTTTCCTGGTGTTTCTATGACTGTTCTCACCAATGGCACCATCACTCTGGCCAACATACTCCTACTGTAAACTCCTCCTACTCCTGTTTCATCTTCCCACAGGTGTGTGACCCTATGTGCTCTGGAAGAGAAAAAGAAAAACGTCTGTTGGTCTTCATATGTCATGGATGCAGTTTTATAAAGTAAAGACATCATCTTATTCTTTTTTAAAAGCGAAGCTGCATCATGCAGACCGCTGTTTATTACAGTGATTGTGTCATGGAACAGGGATGACAGTGTTCAGTGGCAAGGCCACATTCTTTCCAGACTCCACTATTACAGAGCAAAAGGGGCTTGCTGTCCAACGCGCTAGAAGCCAATGCTATGACACTGGATTTTTGGAGAAAAAACAAGCTTTATATTGCATTTTGACTCAACAAGGAGATAGGAGTGTGAAGCTCAAATCTGTTTCCCTGCGCTGTTTTTAAAGCAGTAATTTTACGAGAAAAGGTTTAGGGCAAAGATGTCCAATCTTTTGACTTCCCAGGATCACACTGGAAGAAGAAACGTTTGCTTGGGCCATACATAAAATACACGAACACTAATGATAGTTGATGAGTTAAAAAATTATAAAAGAGATCTCATAATGTTTTAAGAAAGTTTATAATTTGTGTTGGGCCACATTTAGTTATCACTGGAGTGGGCTCCTGATAATAGTTCAGCTCCTGTTTTCTCTGTTTATCTCATGAACTTTCAGCCTCTCATGCCCTCTTTTGCCATGTGATACCTTTTGCTACATCTGAGGCAGCCGGAAGTCACTCGCCAAATGTAGAGCCTCAGTCTTTGACTTCCCAGCCTCCAGAGCCACGAGCCAAATACATCTCCTTTCTTTGTAAGTGTCCCAGTCTATGGCGTTCTGTTATAGCAACATAAAATGAACTAAGACACTGTGTCTTCCAGGCTTTGATTAAATCCTTTGTTTTGTTGGAGCAATTCTTATAGTAAATCCTTAAGAATGTGTAGGGTGTAAGTTGTCTGAATTTTGGATGGCTGCATCTGAGAATGTGTTATTATTCTCAAACTTGAGTGATGGACTAGGTAGAGAATACGAGGTTGAAAATAATTTTCTACCACTGTATAGACAGTTTTGCTTCTCTGAGTTTAGTTGTTGTTGTTTTTTGCAATATTGATCTCAATAGCAGACTTTCCTTTGTGCTCATTTTTCTCCCTTTTTTCCTGGAAGTATTGCATCTTCTTTTTATCCTTGGTGTTATGAAATTTCATAGTGATGTATGTAGGAGTTGCAGTTTTGAAACATGACCCCCAAGTTCTTCAATACTTCTCTTATTGAGAGGTGCAGTTTCTATTCTCTCCTATAGAATCTGCTTGTGATTGCTTGTCACAAATAAAGTCATAGGCTGCCTCAACAAATAAAGTTTATAGGAAGTGACACTAGGTGACTTCCGAGGTTAAGTCATGAAAGATCTTGCCCCTTCCACCTGGTTCTTGTGAAACTCTTGCTCTCTGGAAGCTACATATTGTTCTCAGAGTCTAGCTGCCTTGTTGTAAAAAGCCAAGGCCCTGTGTAGAAGCCGTGCGTAGGTGATCAGATTGACAGCCTTGAGCTAAACTTAGTCTTTAAGATAAGCCCAGACCAAGTGCCAGAAACATGAGTGGAGAAGCCGCAAGAGGATTCTACTCTCTAGCTGTTTGGATCACTCCCAGACATTCAAGTCTTCCCAGTTTAGAATCCAGACATCATGGAAAAGACTAAAACCATCTTCACTGTCTTTTGTATGAATTCCTGATCCACAAAATCCATGATTATAATAAGGTAGTCATAGTTTTATGCCACTGACTATGGGTGATTTGTTATACAGCAGTAGACAACTGAAACAGTAGATATAAATCTATCTTTAGTCACCATTCTGGATACACAATGGATCATTTTAATTAGAATATTCTGATTGCAACATAAAATAAACTAAGACACTGTGTCTTCCAGCCTTCCAGAATATTCTGGAATATTCCTTTTTTCCTGATTTTCTTCCCTTCAATTATAGAAAATTCTCTTCTATTATTTCTTTGGTAAGGTGCATCCAATCGTTACCTGTTTTCAAAAACTGGTTATATTTTGGATCTCTCAGAATGATCCTATTTGTTTCTCATTTCTTTTACGTTTTCTATTCCTTTATATTTTTATTGTAATATATGGAAAAATCATCTGATTTTATCATTCCAATCTTTTAC